TGTTCTGGTTATGTTCTGGTTGTGTTGTGGTTGTGTTCTGGTTGTGTTCTGGTTATGTTCTGCTTCTATTCTGGTTGTGTTCTGGTTATGTTCTGGTTGTGTTCTGGTTACTGTCCTGGTCATGTTCTGGTTGTGTTCTGGTTGTGTTCTGGTTGTGTTGTGGTTATGTTCTGGTTATGTTCTGGTCGTGTTCTGGTTGTGTTCTGGTTTTGTTCTTGTTGTGTTCTGGTTTTGTCCTGGTTGTGTTCTGGTTGTGTTGTGGTTGTGTTGTGGTTATGTTCTGGTTTCTGTCTTTTTAATCTGATAATCCTCATTTCATTCTGTAAACTCCTGCCTCACTCCAACATTCCTGACTTTATTCTGAAAGATGCCAGCCTTTATTCTGAAACCCAGAGTGTGCTGTCAGTGGACCTCAGCAGCAGGGCATTGTGGGAGTTGTGGGTCGGGTTCGCTCACCTGTCCGCCCCCGGATGTCTGTCTGAGGGGGGCGGAGACTTTCTGCAGGTTAATTGCAGCCTCCACAGCCTGAAACAGCAGGTTTCCCTGTTTGGTGTCGAACTCGAAGCTTCCCTCCCCAGACTCACAGCGACGACCCGCCTCGAAGGAGAAGGTGGACTGCAGAGACAACCAGAGACGATCAGGGTTCCCCTCCTTTCAGAACCAGGGTCCGTCTGTGAAACCCTTCCTAGAACCTGACTTGTACAGCGCCGAGGTGTGAAAACTACCTGATTAACTGATCAGACCTGATCAACCACAGCGTCTTATTCTGAAACTCTGCTTTGTTTCTGTGGAGAACCTGCTGGTTGGAGCTACCAGACCTTCTGCTGCTGATGTTATTCAGCAGAAGCTTCTCATATTAAAATGTAAATATTTATGTCTGTAGCCTGAAATAATAATTATTATTATTTAGATATTTAACTTGATTCTGATCATCTGGACTTGATTTTATTAAAAAAACAAAAACAAAAACACAGTCTGACATTATTCTGAAAAACCTTATTTAGACATTTTTGGCTTCTTGTTAAATAAAAAATAAAAATTTTAACTTTACTCTGACAGTTTCAATTTTATTCTCAACATGCATCATTTTATTCTGAAAATCCCAACTGAAACAAACTTGCCGCTTCACTTAAAAATCAACAACAAGACTAACAAGCCTGGTTGATTTCAGGAAATTGAGGTTTTATTCTGAAAATCCTGTCTCTATTGTTGTAGATTTTGATATTTAACTAGATTTTGAATATTCTGACTTTATTTAAAACGTGTTCATAAAAGCATGTTTTCACCGTTCAGACTTCACTCTGAGTCTTCTGGTTTTACTCTGAAAATTCTGCCTTTATTGTAAACATTGAGGCTGGACTTTACTTTGAAAATCCCAGCGCTTTAAAAAAAAAAGAATCAAATGTATCTTGTAGTTTATTCTGAAAATTCAAAAAAGTGTGTGTGTGTGTGTGTGTGTGTGTGTGTGTGTCACCTTGTCCCGTCCGAAGCGTCTCAGGTACCTGTACGGCCAGGTGTACAGGAAGTCACCTGTCCTGTCCAGCAGGCGCAGAGCGTCTCCATCGGCTCGCAGGACGGCGTCGCCTTTCAGCCGGCAGCGATCGGACGCCTCCGTCCTCCGGACACACACTCTGAAGTCACGCACTGCTGCACACAGCAACACAACACAGCAACACAACGTTCAGCTGAACCACGAGCGGCGGAGACACAGTGAAGGAAAGACAAAGAGGTTCAAAAAAGTAAAAACATGTCAAAGACAAACTTGAGCTCAGTCGGTTATCTGCCCCTGTGTGGGTAACAGAAGCCTCTGAGCTGCGGGCTGCGGGGCAGGAAGGCAGCAGCTGTGGAGGATCTGGGGCAGGAAGGCAGCAGCTGTTTGAAGGTTTGTGGGGCAACAGAAGCTGCTGCAGTTCATCACGACCCCAGAAAGGCTTTTATTGTGGTACCGGTACACTCAGGTACTATGTGTAGCAGTACTGCATGTAGAACTGCAGTACCGCTCAGTATGAGAGGAACAGAACGTCTGATCGATCAGGTCATCGATCAGGTCATCGATCAAATCTGCAGAGAAACTGAAGCCCAGAACATCCGCCTCCTGTTGTGTGTCTGAAACAACAGAACCTGCTTTTATTCTGGCTTCATTTTTTATTTATGACTTTGTTCTGAAAACGTTTTATTCTCACAATCTGGACCTTATTTTGAAAAATATGACTTAAGTTTGAAATTTTTTCATTATTCTGAAAATGCAGATGAGATCCTGACAATTGTCGCCTTATTTTAAATAACGAAGCCTAACATTATTCTGAAAATCCTGGCTTTACTTTGAAAGTGCCTAATTTATTCTCACAATCCCGACTTTATTTTCATTAAAATTGTTTTAACAGTCGAAACTGTATTTAACAAAAAAATAGTTTGATATTATTTTGACATCGCTTTATTTTGACATGTGTGACTTGAGTTTGAGAATCCTAAACTTATCCAGATAATTCTGACTTAACTGGTCTGACCTCGATTTTATTTTCAGATTTGAACTTTAATTTGCCAACCACATTTTGAAAAGTCAGACTTTATTTTGAAAATCCTGATATTATTCTGAAAATACTGCCTGTATTATCACAAACTTGACTTTATTTTTAAGTTTAGGACTTAAAGTTGAGAATTCTAACTTTATTTTGGTAAGTAAGACTTTGTTCTGACAGTCGAGTCTTATTTTGAAATTGCTAGTTTTATTCTGACAGTCGAGTCTTATCTGTTTTAGAAGTTGCTGGTTTCAGGTGTGACTTGGACCTGCCGCTGTTCTGGTCGTGTCTGACCGAGTGTCGGCGCTGCATGAAGGTCGTCTGGTTCACCTCATTAGTTCACAGCAGCTAAAATAAAACCACAATCAGAGCTGCAGCTACAAACACAATCACACACTCCGGTTGACGTAACAGCCAAGTGCAGGTGTGGCGACTCGGCCCGGACCCGGCAGCGCTGCACCAGCACCGAGTGCTTCCTGTTCACAAAGAGGAACTTTGTCCTGTGAAGATAAACGCTGAGGTCGTCCGGCGACGGACCGCGACTCGCTGCAGGAACCCACAGACACACAAAGTTTCCGCTACACAACGACACAACGACACACAGCGTCAGAACCGCAGCGGAAACTAAAACCGTTTCGAGTCCAAACCAGACAGGACGAGCTGAGACGGGAAACGCTGAAAATAAAACCTGACTCGACTGGATTCAGCAGAGTCGAGTCTACCTGAGCTGGTTCTGGTTCTGGTTGAGTCCATTCAGCTCAGTCCAACCGTAACACACTCGGTTCAACTGGAAAGAACTGAATTCAGGTGGACTCAACCGGACTGGACTGGTCTGTATCTGACTCGACTGGGTCCAACAAGTCTCGACTGGACTAAGCTGGATGTAACCTGACTGGACCGGACCGACCTGACCTGGTTTTGACCGACTTGACTGGATTAGTTCCGACTCAGCCGGATTAGAACAGATCGAAACCGGACTTGTCTGGCTTCAGTTTGACTCGACTGACTCGGACCCGACTCGCTGTGGTTCCGTCAGTTCTGTCTGAGCTTCAGAACCTCTGCATCCTGGACGTACTGACGCCGAAACACATTCATGTTTCAGGACCAGATGTTGTCAGAGGAGCAGCCAATCAGCAGCGTTTCCGTGGTAACAGGCAACAGTTGTTTAGTTTTTACTTTGTGACAATAAATAAGTTTAATGAGTTGAAAGTAAAGCGACGGAACTGCAGCCGCCTCCAGCTGACACACTCACATCTGAGTGAGCTGCAGCACAAAATGCGTCACTTTAGCCTCGCGGCTAAATTTAGCTGCAGTGGGAAAAGAGAGGAGGAAGTGGGGTTTGGTTGAAGGTGTGACAGAGGAAGTCCTGACTGCTGCAAGAACGAACGAAACATGAGAAAAGGAGAAAACTGACAAACGCTGCAGCTGCTTCGTGAAGCCTTCAGCCGACTGCTGCAGACGTGCTGATCGGCAGGAGATGCAGCGCATTAAACACACAACGTCACACAACGAAGACAAAAACCTTAACAACAGTAAATAACGTATAAAGGGTCCGTTACGTCCTCAAGAACAAACCTGGATCCTGGTCCAGAGGTTCTGCAGCTCATGAGCTCGTCTCAGTGTTTCCTGTCTCGTCTTCGTCATTTTCTGTCGGTTTTAGTTGTTTTGTGTCTCAGAGCATTTCATAGAGAACGTATAAAGCCCGAGTCACTCCAATAACCATAAACCAGCACTCGACCCGGCCCAGGTTTAAAGCTACAGACCGGTTCCACTCCTGCCCTTCCTGTCTAAAGTACTGGAGCAAACTGTCTCAAACCAAGTCTCTGCTTTCCTCTGTGACAACAACCGGTATGACCCGTATCAGTCTGGTTCTAAACGGGGTCACTCTACCAGACTGCCCTCCTCTCTGTAACAGAACCACTGGGTTCTGCTGGAGCTGCTGGACAGTCTTCAGCTCTGTTGCTGTTAGATCTGTCAGCTGCCTTTGACACGGTGACCCACCACATCCTCCTCTCCACACTCCCTGAGCTGGACATCTCAGGATCTGCCCTCTGCTGGTTCATGTCCTACCTCTCAGGAGATACTTCGGAGTATCCTGGAGGGGAGAAGTGTCCGAACCACACAACCTGTCCACAGGGGTTCCTCAGGGGTCAGTACTTGGTCCCCTTCTCTTCTCAGCATACACAACCTCACTCGGTGCAATAATCCAGGCCGTGGTTTCTCATACCGTTGCTATGCTGATGACACCCAGCTCTTCCTGTCGCTCCCCTCAGACGACCACATGGTCTCTGCTGGATCTCATCATGCCTTGCAGACATCTCAGCCACCTTCAGCTCAGCCTCTGTAAGACTGAGCTCCTTGTCATCCCAGCCAGTCCCTCTCTACAAGT